GACGTTAGGATAGTCATTGACAGCCTCGTATAAATCGTCGCCTTCGTACTTCCAAATAAACGTCACATTGTAGAATGATGCAAAGGTTTCGATGATGTCTGAAAGGATGAAGATAAGGGTGATTCGATCTCAATGATCTTGTTCAATCATATCAATACTCTCTGTTGAGCACACCCACTTCCTAACACTGCGTCTTACCTCTTTTCAACCACTCAGGCATATCTTTTGATTGAGCCACACTTCCCATTGAGAAGAGAATATTGACAGGATTCTGCTCTAGTAGCTGATTCAAGTCCTGAGCTAAGATGCAAGAATTGATGCAAGAAAAGACTGATCGTGCACTGGACCTCTGACAAAGGTATGGGATCGGATATCGCGGACCCACCAATATACTTAATCATACCAGTAGTAGGACGAGCTGTTTCGGCAAACTCATTAGCGTTCACCATAATCAAGGCTGTTTTCTCCTAAAAAAGATCAATACGAGTGAGAAGAAGTAGACAAGCAATTTACTTTATATATCTCGTCGATGGTTGGAAAGTTCGGATACTTATCAAGAAATAAATCAGTAAATCTATTTTCCAATTTGTACTGAAAGTAATGGTATGTCAAATCAAGATTGAAATTGGTCAGTCTTTCAATAAACGTCATTTCATCAGAGTAGGGCGTCAGACCAACTAAAAACCAGCATCTGAATTATACGTAATTAACGCCATAACTGTACCTGGCATAAAGCTGGGGATAGAATACATTCCGGCTACATCATAAAGACGTGGCATAACGCCTAGAGCAGATACCAAAATCACATTCTTGATTCCAATCAACTAAATTACGATCAATAATATTACATTTTACAAGTTAAACACTGAGCGAACTACTCTGGTGGGGACAGTCTATTCGAGGTCTAGCAAATCTCTTGTTAGATGAACGGAATACCGGAGAAAGTTAAAGTTAGCACAACACGAAGATAATAGTGCAGAGGTGGCAACGTTTCCAATAACAACAACTCGAGCTAACCGTAAACTAAAATCTGGCTATGTATCTGTGTACTTGCACGTTGTAGGTAGCTAAATGGGTTTAATATTGGAGCGCAACGTTTCAATTCTAATAAAAGGGTCGCAATAAACCATTATGAATATGAAATGCTGCGATTTGTGTAACTCTAATCGTAACCTCCCAAATCCCAGGAGCACAGGCATCGAAAGTTTCACTAAAAACCAGTTCAAAGTTTGAATCCCGGAGGCTATTTATCAGCTCTTGATGTTCTAGCAATGCTGAAAGCAAACGATGTTGACGTTTCTTGCGTTAACAAGCATGCCCACCAGCACAGATTTCATACTGTCTATTTGTTATCTGAGATATATCGTCCCAATTTAAACATAGTCCGTCACATGGCGGATCATTCCACACCGTGTTACTCAATCTGTAATAAATGTAGTTTGCTTTTTAAGT